CGTACCAATTCTAGCAACATGAAATTTGTATATACATTTGGAACACAAAATACGATTACCAATAGTATCAGTTGGATATCTCAAATGTCAATTATCCTAGGGCGGCGTAACAACCATTGCGAATATTTTGTCGGTCGGATCGCGTTTCAAAACGTGTTTTATATTTTTCAAACAAACGCGTATACCTTGGAAAACAAAGAAAAAGAAAATGTCAACTAGACGCGAAGGTATTTCATAATTTGAATTCTGATTGACGAAGGATGGCGGGTGGTGACGGTGGGGGTGGGGGTTTAGAGAAGATTTTTTTTTCAAGTTTCGACGTTTAATTCGTGAATTCCGGGTTACGGGAAAATATCTTTACCAAAACGCGAGGATTAAACCTCGGGACGTAAACCGACGTGCTGCTATCGTTTCGAAAGTTTGTACCGGATCCGAGAGTACGTCCGTCCCGGTAATCCGGCCGCGAATCGCGATTTCGCGGGTGGCAAAGCGAACCAGGTGGAAGTGGAGGAGGAGGAGGAGGAGGAGGTGGAGAACACGCCGGAAACTCGAAACGAAAAGAGAGGGGTGAATCCTGCCTGCGATATTAGCACAGCCGCGCTCGTTAATGCGCTAATCTCGCGCATTTAATGCCCGACCAATTAGCAAGCTTAACGACGTTCGTAACTGCGTATATCGTGAAGCGAAAATCTCGGTTATTTCCCTTTCTCGATACTTGCCATATCGAATGATAAGATTCAAACTTGCGAGTAATATATATATATTATAATCTCAATATATAATACTTACATACAAGTTTATATCTATATATATATCTGTCTATCTTTCTCTTTCTCTAACTAGGAAAGTCTTTAAGAAAATGCCACACGTACGTATATGTATACGTTCGAAAGCAGAACCGATGGTTATCATGATTCCAGCACCCAACGCCTTGATCACTGTTTCACAAACTTGGATTATCATCGTTCCTACCAAGAGGGTGATTACGTTCACGCTGAGAGAGAGAAAGAGAGAGAGAGAGAGAGAAAGAGAGAGTCGGGACGAGTTGTAAATTAGTTTCGCGCTGAACTAGATATCGCGGAGTTGATTATTGCTAGTGCACATTCGGTAATTGGGTTTTCGTTGGATGGTGCCAAGGAATTTATTGATTATTATAAATTTATAATACAATTTAAATAGCCGTGTTGTAAATAAACGTCCATACTTAGAACGCGTTTAGTTCGATTACTGTCTCTATCTGTATAGAAATACATTTGCATATGTATATATATATACAATGCATGTATGTGTGATATCGATGAAAGCTCGTAATCATGTCTCTATCCCTATCTCTCTCTCTCTGGGATTTCCTTTGAACTTGGCTACGTTTCCGCTTTCGGGAATGATCACGACAGTGACGCCATTAGAAACAAACGAGTTTATGGGACTGGTTTCACGAGTAGGATCGCACGAAAACTAAGAGCTACGAATGAGTTTGTGTGTAAGAGAAAGAGAAAGAGAAAGAGAGACAGAGAGAGAGAGAGAAAACAGGGAGAAGGTCTAAGCCGTATCCATTTACAAGTTTCAAATCGTTCTGCCAGCGTGCCTTTTGAGAAGAACCTTTTACCACTCTCAATGCACGGTAAAATTCTGAAACGCGCTTACCAGCCTCCTGGCTTTTAAACGTTAACATGCTCGCTTGGTACAATGCCGGGGTCGCATTATACTCGAGAGTTGAAGGGAGGTAGTAGTAGTAGTAGTAGTAGTAATACTAGTAGTAGTAGTAGAGAGAAAAGAAAGAAAGAAAGAGACCAAAGGGTCGCTCGACAACGCGAGCTAGGGTCGAGACTAGAGAAAGATGGAAAAGTTAAAGGTCGAAGATGGCGTCGACGAGCGCGAACGAGGCGAAAGAAACCACCCCTATCCTCTACCCTCTACCCCCTATCCTCCTATCCTCTCTCTCTCTCCCTTTCTTTTCTCTTCTCCGCAGTCGTCGTCGTCGTCGTTGTCGTCGTCGTCGTTGTCGTCGTCGTCGTCGTCGTCGTAACACTTCGGATTTTGTAAGAGAAATGCATTTTACCTAAAGCATCTGGTATTATTTAGTCGTGCGATCGATCAAAAAACAATGAAACCCGAGCACAACTCTTCTATTTAATTTCTTAACGCGTTACGCCCTTTTACCCAATAGTGGATCCTTTATTTATCGTCCTTTTATATTATAGAACGATGATGCATTTTAGTACAAAAGGATGCTGCTACACCTAAGTAGCAAAGATGACTAAGAACACAAAAGCAACGTGTTACTCTCTCTCTCTCTCTCTCTTTTTCTCTCTGATGCACAAATTTATTGTGATTCCGTGACGCGTTTTACGATCGTTTATGGATCATTTTAAGAGAATGTCACTTGGCTTTACGACGATAACAGAACGAGAAACTTCGAATCTACTTACGATAATCTCTCGAGATTTTTTTCTTTTTCTTTTTTTTTTTTATTGAAATAAACGCATCTGGTTCGCATTCGGTAAGGGTTCTTCAAACAGCTGAGCAAACACTTTTTCTTATTAGTCGTTTCGTACGAAAAACGATTCTACTCTAGCACTACCTTTTCTCTCTCTCTCTCTCTCTCTCTCTCTCTCTCTCTCTCACACTTAGTTTTCTGTATAGAAGGCATCGCGTGAAAATGAATTTTTTTTCGTATGGACGTAATACCTACCAAGAAAATAAATTTTCTTCTTATAAAAATTCGAGTGAATTCGAATAGCACACAGCTCACTTGGTGAAATTTATTGATGATCTTCTTGGAATCCCTGACCACGTCCTTCCCTCTATAGGTCTCTTATCTTTCTTACGCTTTCTTGGTTATTATACTTTTTCATCTTTCGTGACTATAAAAAGATTGTTCGGGATCGTGGTACAAGTATAATAATATGGTAAATTGATAGTTTCACTTCTTTCCTATGTGATACCTATGTGATTTCCTACAGATACCGTGCGCGCGCGCGTGAAAGTTATAACGTTCTCGTAAATTTTGCAAAGTCTCCTTCTCCTTACTGCGAGAAAAAAAAAAAGAAAATAATACTAAACTACGTTGTTCAATTAAAAGGCATGTTATATCGCGGGATAAGAAATTCCATGGTAGGGAAATTCCATAGGTACAGCTTAGATCTAAACTATATAAGGTGCTTGGGTAGAGACTCCAGCATGGGAAGTAGTTAAACGTTACCGGTGTCAGAGCATGGCCTTTGTACGAGGCGAGTGCTTGGGCTCTACAGAGTTAGCTAACTGGCGGAGTACTATAAATTACATAAATGAAGTAAGCCCCTTTCTCGCTCAAACGGACGTCTTGCCAAGTTTATAACTTAATCACCAGCGCTTCCTATAGTATAGGAGACGTTCGGGTGGCTGAGCAAAAGCACGATACGGAGAGAGAACGGAAGAAAAGTTGGGGGATGGTAGTAGTAGTAGTGGTAGTAGTAGTAATAGTATGAGTGCGCAATGAGTATGAGAAAAGTCAAAACTGAAAGTACTAATTTAAAACGAATGATTTTCATCGGCAATAATTCATACGATTTTATGTCATTTATTCGGGAAATTAACTTTCTTGCGAGGGATCAATCGTAAACGTTCAAACACGTACATGTAAAGCTCGATGAATCTTTTTCGAAAATACACGAATGAAATAAAATTGTTCTCTTTTCAACTGTATTTTATCTATATTTTGAATTATAATATTCTTACAATTAGATTACTTATACGTTTGGTTTGTACGAATTTGTTGTACGGACTCTTCAATATTTTTTCGATGGCTCTCTTAGTTTTGCCATTGTAAATGTACTGGATATCCTAAAGGAATTTAATGTAAGCTAAATGACCGTTTAGGTTGATTCTTGTAATCGTCTTTTGGTAGCAATAACGCATAACCGAAGTGCTGGGGAGTCAATATTGGTAGAAGTACGGGACTTCGATTAGTAGTAGAGAAAGTTAGGAAGATTTAACCATTGATTTTAACTGGTATCACGAGGATTCGGGGGTTGCCCGCAGGGATTTCGACCTCTGTCTCGATCATGAGCAGAACTCGTAGAGACAGTAGTATGTCTAATCAAGTTGGCAAGGAATCCTCCATGATCCCGTTGGGTGACCTGCGCACCATTAGTTCGGACACCGCCTGCTGAGTCGGTAGAAATTGTGGAAGTGTCTTACTCCTACTAGGGAGATTGTTGGCCCTACAGCTTTCAACACACTGGTAGTTCTCTATGAGAATACGCTGATTAGGCGTATCTCAATCCCTTGCCCATGGGGATTGTGATATAAAGCTCTTAAAGTGAATAACGTATGTCAGACCAATGTGATACTATACTTGACAAATGTACTTTTAGATTATTGTCTAAACCCAAATTTGATATAAATGTATATTGTTCAGAAGTTTTTCAAGTTATATCATGTAAAATGGATTTTGACTGGGGCCAAATTCGAAAAGACCCCCTGCTTTTCGCGTGTGGTATTCTAACCACTAAGCTACCCAAGATTCTAGAGTTTCCATTCCCTCGTAGCCTCTTAAGATTCCTATAATTTTAGTCCGAGTTTCTTACACTAAGGAAACTAACTTCCGCTTATCTTGAATCACACCACGCACCGTATTCGTATAACTCGCACTACGCGAATAACTCGAGTCAGAATTACTAGCTGAAAGAGAAGCAAGCACGGCACAATGGGGTCGAGATTAAAATCGCCCGGAGAGCAATGCAAAGTTTTTAATAACCCTTGATACTTGATTAAGTTACGACTTTTGGCTGATATCTTTCTTGCTGCAGTTCCCTTTAGCCATTTGTTCTCGTCTATGAATAAAATAATTATTATAGAAAATCGTATACATAAATTGTTTTTGACCAAATTGATGATATTTTTCTTTTCTTGACGACCAATCGTTGATCGTCAAACTTAATTTTGTTAACATGTAACCCGATTATTTTTCTATTACAAACACTTTTACTCATCAATCGGTTATAATTTGTTTGTTTCAGGTTTTGGCTTCGTCACATTTCAAAGCGAGGACGTGGTCGACAAAGTCTGTGAGATTCATTTCCACGAGATTAACAACAAAATGGTTAGTCGTCGATCTGTAAATTAAGAAATTTTATTCATCTCATTGGTCGAAGAAATATACTCTTCTTCTTTCCTCGTCCAACATATACCCGCACAGGTGGCATCAAACAGTATTTGCTTTTCCCTCACCGTGGGCGAATACGTCTTCTAGCAGAATTAATTTTCCATATAATCGAGAAGAAAAGGACCGCGTCGGTGGTTCTATTTGCATTTGACGTTCATGCAAGAGAACAAGGGTGCAAGCTCAATTAGATCAAACGCGTAGCAAAAACGATAAGATCTCTTTAGAAACGTATTCTATCATAGAGTAAAGATCTTATAACGAACATTTTCATTAATACGTTTCGATTTTAAAACGATTACGAAAATGATTGATGCTATCTGAAAAGGGTACCATATTCAAGTAAGAATAGAACTTTTTCAAAATATAAAATAAATTATTTAATTAATAAAATCTATAAAAGAACATTTGTTGTTGAGGTTAAAATTTGTCTAAATAGTGTCATGCATGGTTACATTCTTACTTGAACTTAGTAAAAAAGAAAAAAAAAACTACTAACATCAGTATAACATAGTTAATAGTAATGGCCAGTAGTGGCGATAAAAAAAAAAAAAGAAAAGAGGATATAAAGGAAGGTTAAAAATGGGGGATGGAACTTTCAAGGTCGAATGCAAGAAAGCACAGCCGAAGGAAGTGATGCTCCCGGCGAACCTGGCGAAGACACGAGCGGCTGGCAGAGGTGCATACGGTGAGTTGGTGATGGTCGCGACACCCACTCCCACCACCTATCGTTACGCGCCGTATCCCCTCCCGACTGGTACAGCGGCAACAGCAGCCGCGGCGGCCGCACACGCTGCCGCGGCAGCTACCGCTGGTACCCCCCACCACCACTTGCTGACGCCAATCGTAGCCACCGCTGCACCGAGCGCCGCCGCTACCTACCAATACGCGGCCGGGGCCGGGAATCCGGCTGCGGCCGCATCCACTGCTGCGGCCGTTTACGATGTCAAACGGGCATTGGCCGCAGCGGCTGCCGCTGCCGCTGCTGCCTCCTACAGGCCCCATCCGGTCGCCGCGGCAGCCGCATCCCGTGCAGCCACTTTGACTTATTCTATGAGCGATCTTTTGGGCGTGCAGGGACTCGACATGGGCGCTGTTTATCATCCCATTCCGACCATTGGTCTATGACCCACAATACTTACCCCATTATCAAGGCCGCAATGAACAATCATGACACGCTCTCTCGATCGCAGTGGACTATACAATATTATTTAACATATTTTTGGACTTTTCGCAACCTAGTATGTCAAATCTTTTCTTTTAGTTATATGACATTTTTATTGATATCTTCGATTATTCGATACGTTTTTTTTTAATTGATCGTGAGTATATCATTTTTGTCCACTGCGAAAGTTTAAATGCATTTTATTTAATTAATCGGATACGTCCGTTGTTGTTACGTTACTTCGTATACATTCCCCACTCTCCTAGATATCATCTCGTCTTTGTTTTTTCCTCGAACAAAGAAATAAATGATTTAATCGAAAGTACTAATATACTGTAGTTATATCTGCGATTTATCTTCCAACGAATTAATGTAGTAGCGCTAGGCATCGTTGACATATCGGAAAGTGCAATAATATCGTAGTTTAGAAAGAAATAATCCTCGTTTCGTATATCGGGGCAAGAAATTATTCTCGCGTGTGAGCCGTTCGAGAAGTTCAGTTCGGTAAAACTGTGATCTTAGTGCAATTTAAATGCAAAGAAAAAAATAAATTAAATAATAAAGAATAAAAAGATAAAAGTAATTCGTAGCAAAAAGTTAGTAGATTTCGACTTTGACGTAACTTGATGATCAACCACGGGGCCTCATTTTCAAGTAGCCAAAGAGTAACGTAGTTAGCAACGAGACAAATACAACGCGAAAGACTGGTAGTGATTTTGTAGTTGGGTTAGTAACGCAGAAGTAGGACAATAAGGAAGAAGTGTTCAAATCTCTAGAAAATAGACGAGAATTCGTTTCGATAGACAACGTTCGATAGTACGCGGCCAAAGTCGTATTTCCCCTAAGGGAATTGACTTTCCTTTCCGTTGACTCCGTAATAAAATGAAACACGATTTGATTCGACGACTACTCTCCGGAAATGAATACGACATCACCCCTCCCTGTTATTGCGTGTTTCATTTTAAGCTTCATAAATGATTTCTCATTTTTAACAGCATTATTTGTTTATAATTTTTCTCTCGTTAACAAGATAAATAGTTCGATAAAATTAATCAGCTCGTATACCCCAAAAAAAAGAACAATTCATTAATTTTCTTTGTCATTATTACGTTTAATAAAAATTAATAATAATAATAATAACAATCAAAGGAGTACGGAAGAGAAAGTATAATTTCCTTTTCGCGAAAGTATAATATATAATAAAAATTGTCGAATGTCAATTCACGGTAGATCCTAGCGTTGCGAATCAAACGATTATCGACAGCAAGTCGTTGATTATTACAAAGAAGTGGCTTATATTATATTTTCCAAGAGAGAAAATCTAAACTGAAAGCTTAGGCTTTCGAAAGCGATGGCGCCCAATGTCGAGATAATCGCTCCACGCTCGTATTCGATGAATATATATATATAAATAAATATATATATATATATATATATATATATACATTCCCAGGTAGCGGCACGCCTAGTGTGTTACATTGACAACTCCAAAGGTGAAAAGCCTTTTTATCTAAATGTTGTTTTATTTTTCATCGCGAAAAAATTGATATGGCGAAAGGCGAATAAGCATATTAATTAATTAATAGCCCTCGGCAAATGGTGGTCGAAAAATAAGCACTTCTCATTCGTCGCGCCTTTCAAAATATTTTTCGCTATAACTTCATGAAATTTCATAATATCGAAAGAAAAGAAAATAAAGAAAAGAAATAATAAAATGAGAAAAAGATTCCGATGATAAGTAAATAAATAAATAAATAAAGAAAGAAAGAAAAGTAAAGAATAGAAAAGTAAAAAACTGGAACGAAAAATAATTACGTGTATTCCATTTACGACGTACGAGAATTCGAGAAGAAAAATGAAAATAAGCCGCGAGGTCCGAACTATCCGTCAGTATATGTATCTATTTCAAAATGAATTACGTTGAAAAATTATCCAACATATACACGGATAGAATCATATAAGTATATGATAAAACATATATATATAAATATACTTATACACATACGTACCTAAATCCAATCTAGATAAACGGCAAATTATATATACGTATTATTATTATATTGTTTTGTATTTACCTATTTGGTATAACGCCATAGTATTTGATATTAATATCGATATATTTTGTGAGAGCCGCATTACACCTTATAGTTTTTTGTAATAGACCTTACAGTTATACATATCGAAGTATGTCTTCTATATCTATATATACATATTATCTACATATATATATATATACCTATACATATCTAGGTAATTAGGTAAACATTTGTGTTGTTACAAACCTTAGTTTTATTTATTCGAGAGATTTAGGCGATTTAGGTTCGATTAGTTAGAGCGAATAATTTTTTGGCGAATTACTATACTATGTATACGTTCCTACCGTTGAGACTACTAGTGAACTATTAGCTTTTTTGAGGAGCCACTATAATATCGTTAGATTAGAAATATATTTTAGGTACTTCTTCGTGGAAGATCATGCATCATTCTTCGTCTGCGAGCGTTTCTCAAAATGGTTGGATAATCGTATATATACATACACCTATATATACATATATATATATTTATATACGTAAAACCATCTCGAACGGAAATGAAATTAAACGGATTTAACTGTCATATCCTTACGCTGCCTCTACGAGTTTCCTTTTCTCTTATCTTATAGCTCGTTATCATACCTCACGGTCACGTTTGATGTTCACCGTTCGAGAAGGACCGATTATTACGGGAAGCAAGAAATGAGAAACATATGTACATCTTCCACCGAGAATACATATTGCCAGCGGCTTTAATGAGACCTATTACATTGTACCTCTACTTAACAAGCTACGTTACATAGCCAAGTAATATTATACCTCTCTATAGGATATACACACTAAATATATATCTTACGTATACGTGTCTATACCTGTATCCTGGACCTTTACCATTACCAACACTCTCTACCCTTAATCCTTACATCCTTTATCCATATACCTCCTGTTGTACCCTTACATCCTCCTCAAAACTTTTGCTTCACGTTAACATGCTCCCTAACAAATCCTATTCCAACTTCTTATTCCGCTACCTGATTCCTTACCTCTTTAAACCTTCTATTATATACACATTACACAGTAATTAACAGTTCTAAAACTATATAGCATCATTTACCTTAATAATAATGCGTGAGACGTGTGTCCTAGAAAGTACGTACTTTGCCTGAGAGGCGCAACACTGTCAGTTTCGTAAGTAGACCAGATTTTAACATGCGGTTTCATTTCTGTTCACTCTGTAAAATGCTTATTTGGGCCGGATTTTGGTTTTGTGTCTTAAAAATACGACGACAAAAGAAAATGTCCAACTAATACGAGGTGTGGTGGTGAAGCACAACAACACCCATCGATCAAAGCGTTTCTTTGCCTCTGTCATATAGACTATTTCCATAAAAAAGAAATATTTCTTTCTCGAGACAAACCATTTGGACGGTACTATCTCAAAGGAAAAATTGTCTCTTTTAAAGACTAACTCGATAAATTTCGTGTAATAGCAATAGCTATCGACATTGAAATATCGAATGTTAATCGATTGGCGACTGATAATCTCAAGCGTAATGCGTATCATTCGCACTATAAATTTTTGAGAGAGCAATAACGAGAGAGAGAGGGAGAGAGAGAGAGAGAGAGAGAGACTATTAATGTTAATATCGTACATAAACGTCTGCTCTATGTGGAATCGTTTTGTTGCATCTGAGAAAGTACACGTATACATAAATATATTACTTGGGAAATATACATTCGTTGCAGTGTATTAATTGCACATATAATATTTATGTATAGTACGCATAAATCTCCTATATATTTCAATATTATATATATATATACATATATACATATATTAAGAAATTAATATATAAATATCTATCTATCTTATCTATCTATCTAATATAACATTTGAAGAAATTTTAATGGTAATTATATATAATGCGAGGGTTAACGCTCGAAATAGTTAATTTATATGCTAAACTTATTGTTGTTCAATTTATTGAAAGAAAAAAAAGAAAAAAAGAAAAAAAAAAAAAGAACGGAAAAAGATAAAAACACCAAAAACATAAAAAATAAGAGTCAAAGAAAATGACGATGTCGAGAGAAAAAGAAAAAGAAAAAGAAAAAAGAAAAAGAAAATGTAAAGAAAAAAAAACCAAAAAAAAAAAAACCAAAAAAATCGTGCGCTTGACGCAATCAAAACCAGCCCGGTAGAAAGACATTAGGTACGGAAACAAAAATCACTAATACTATTAATATGTATCAGTGTATCTTAATGGCTAGAATAATAAACGCTCTTATACTTTTCCATCTGCGTAATATTGTGAGAGCAACGTCGATATGAACACTAGAATAGTAAGTAGTGTAGTATTGTGGTCGGTGTTATTTTTATAAATATTGTATCGTCAATATAAATGTGGTAGTAGCGTCGGCAATAGGTTTTACATCACGTGGCAGACAGAATTCGATCTATAATAGAAAAATTCATTCGTATTCCATTTAAGAAAAGGAATAATAAACGGTGTTCGACCGTTTTGTCCGCCATAAATGCTTGACAAATTGCCGACCCTTAGTCGATATCTAATAAGCTATATAGTCAGCCTAGCAAATATTACTTAACGGTAACTGATTAACTAATACCTTTAAAGGCTACAATAACCATAGATCATAGGAGGGTTTATTTTGTCGTAGATTGAAAATACCTATCGGCCGCGCGTAGTAGTTACTAGTACCTTATTACACAATTTAGTCGCGCTATATAGACAATGCGATATACATATATACATAGCCAGAATCTTAGTTGTGTGGTCTTTAAATTAGTATCAAATTATGAAATTTCATGGATGCATTTTTCTCTTTCCCTTTTTTCTGTTTCTTTCTTCTTCTACTTTTTCACTATTCTTTCTTTCACTTTTTCTCTTCTCTTTCTCTATTTATATATGTATGTATATATATATATATATATATCTACATATATACATATATACATTTCTTCTTCTTCTTCTTCTTTTTATCTATACTGTCTAACCTAGAAAAGCTTCTAATCCTTTTTCATACATATATCTATATATATATACATTTTTTTTTTTATTTTTTTTTTTTTTTTTACATAAACAACACTTATCGTTTGATCAACCTAGTCATACGTTATATTCCAATCGTTTATTCTTCCGACGAATTTCTGCAACGCTTCGCTTTAATACTTGACTTATATCCATGTACATATTTTAAGTGTCTTTATGCATACCTTTGCCTGCTCGGAGAAAAATATTGAATGGACAAATTGATATTCGTTAAAATGACGTAACGATGGAAGTGAACGAATGAAACGTTATCCTAAAAACGGACTTTCACTTTCGATGAAAAAAGAGAAAAAGAAAAAATGAATAACACGTCATTAAATGTCATTGTTTCTCGGTCAAGTCAATATTTTTTGTCCACGTTGGTTGCAGAAATTACGATCGTAAAAGTCAAAGAGACGTTGTACTAACAAAATTGAAAACAATTCGAAGGGAAAAGAATGACAAAAATGAAACACATTGAAAAATACATTTAACGATTCCATTCAAATATTATAATCGACTTTCGTTTTCTCTTATAGATTTTATGTGGTCCGTGGGAGCTATACCAGAAGGTGAGTATAAAATATCTAGAATAATAAATATACACTGTTAATTTTATTCTCATAAATAGTTTAATCGAAAGTATGTTAAATTTATTTCGTATACGTAAATGTAATTCGTGGTCGTGTATAGATGTGACTCGAATAAATTGACGAAAAGGATTTTTTCAAATATTCCCCAGTTGAACAAAAAAAATCTCCTTTATTTAAAATTCAAAAATAAATATTGTATATTGATATATACCTCAATATGGATACAATAACTTTTTCGAAATATTTAGTAACATTTATATTGGTCAGATATATTCAATAGAGAAAGTAGACGAATAGATATTATACGAATATTGGTGGGGAGGAAGGGGGAGGGGGAGAAAAGGGTGGATAGGTTTTCCTAGCGAACACTTTGAATATGATAAAGAGAAGAATACGTCGTAAACGTCAGTAAAATGTGGATGAACGACGATGACACTCTATGCATGTTTCAATATCTACTGGATATTTATCGAATATCACGTTTCAACTGGGTGGTGGTTGGTCGCTTTCCATTTGCATGCATACGTCGATACGCATTCACGATGATTGAATGATTGCGTACGTAGCCATCAGATTGTAGTAGAATCGTAAAAGGGGCTAAAAAAGAAAATGTTATTAATATAGAGGTACCTATCTCTGGTATACGCGTTATAAGCATTATAATGGAACGATCGAATGATAAATCAATGTTCATCAATCCGACCTACATTTTCGTTGACACGTCTTCAATAATGTGAATGGCACAGACACATTTGAAAGATGCACTTTTTGTTGTTGTTTGTTATACATCGTAAATAATTGAGCATAGAATCACTTTCTCTTGTAGGGAAGTAAAAGAATGAGGACTGGGGTATAGGGGAGGGGGGTTATAATAAAACGTTTTCAACGTTACTTCTTTTACAGAGTCTCTATCGAGAGAGATCATATATATATATATATGTTACCGTCAAAGCCGAAAATCAGTCATTGCTAGTTCTTCCTCGGCATTCTTATCTACGGAAAACGCCTATATATATATAAAAAAAGAAAATATAAAAGAAATAAAAATTGAAGGCATAAAAGATGTTGAAAAGTTTTTAACAAAATTGATTTATCTGTTCACAGGTTTCTCAGCAGCGGCATACGCGGCATACGCGGCAAGCCGCGGTTATTCTGGGTACCCTAGTTTCGGACTACCCTACCCGACAGGTAACCACCTTAGCCTTAACCACCTTAACCACCATAATGCGGCCCACATCGCGCCCCTGAACCTGAACTTGAACCTCATACAGGCACAACCCGCACCCCACCACAATCCACCTACCCCAACGCCCCTATTTTACCATCCCAATTTGGACCTCTACAACGCCATGCCTCTGTGAACTAACTTATTTAATAATGAATCAAGATGCTATGCGCACACTAATCCATCGCTACAAACTAATCGTGCTATATCGTCATCATCACACCATAATACTACTACTATTACTACTACTATGATCACCCATCGTGCCGGAAGCCTTGTTGCGCGTGGATTTAGTAGAGCCAAGTACGAACGTTGTCTCTCTTTTTCTCTCTCTCTCTCTCTCTTTCTCTCTCTTTCTCTGTCTGTTTGTCTGTCCGTCTGTCTTGTCTTGTCTTGTCTTGTCTATCCCATTTTCTCATTATCTAATCTCGAAGATACACGAATATAATTTCAAACGTAAGTGAAGCAAAATAATCTACACCGACGTATCGCGTGTGCGTGTGTTATCGATCCGATTTTCCCCGTAAAAATACTCGCTCGTATATACTTTTATTCCTTTTCTTCGTTTTCATTTTCCGGAAGGCAAAGATCATCTTTTTGGTAAGAAAAGAAATGAAAAAAAAGGTCTTTCCCTACTAGACGCAACCCAAGCAAGCCCTTGAGGTATATAGAGTATATTATAGGAGATTTACGAAAAGGGATGGCCCGAAGCTCTTTACAAGTATCTTCAACATTTTTAGAAATCGTTTTGCTATTCGATCTTTATGACGATATACTGTCTGAGATAAGAAAGAAGAAGAAGAAGAAGTAGAAAAAGAAAACATAAAATGACGCTCGAAAATCCGTGATATTATCACGGATAACGTTGTATTCTCGTTTTAGCTAATAAAAGTGTGACGGAAAATATAATATATATATATATATATATAGGGAGTTCAGATTTTTCTTGATAAAGAAGAAAGAGAGAGAAGGTGCACAATAACCGTATGTGCATGTGCGTACACGTCAAAAATCGCTAAAGATATTATTAATATCGTCCAATATATATTCATTCGTTTAAATTAGATTTTCGATGCATTAGGCTTGTGTGAAAGCAAAAGATCTCGTTTTGTTATTATTATTTGAATAAATAAAAAATAATTAAATAACGATGACAACGTCGTTCTGGGTTTTGACTTCTTCTCATAAAAGAAACAAAAAAAAAAGATTTTACACGTTACAGGGTCATTTTAGTCGATATTTACTCTACTTCTATGACATTACAACGATGCAATGATGTTTTCGCATGGAAGTATCTCGTTTATGATTGAATGTTACCCAGAAAACTAATGGGCGGGTGGGAGGAGGGGGGGGTGGAATTTGTACAAATCACTATAGGAGTTATTTAACGCGTTGATAATTATCGATAAACGTGTGTACGAGGAGACAGTATATATTGAAATAATAATAATTTTACAAAATGATTTCTACTGAATTTTTCTCTTGTTCTTTTACTTTTGGGTTATTCTTATTTCTATTTTTTTTTAGCGAGCGACAACGAAATTAACGACACGATCATCGTACTCAATTGACTTTTCGTGATAATAACGTATTCGTATAATCTTCGAACGTAATTTCTATAAAAGAAAAACCCCCAAAAATAACCACGACTTTATATTAGTAAACACGATGATTTGATGACAAAAAGAAATGTAAAATAATGATTTTTCATAAATTTCTTTTCGAATAACAAATAGGGTAATTCCTATTTAAGATCATCAGGTATACTTACATTATTTTATTTATAAAACACTTTAACAAAAGATTAGTATTAAGTAACACAAAATTGATACGAAAATCACCAATGCGTTGAGAAAAATTGATTTTTACTATAATAACGAGTTTAATACCGCGTTCTAAATTATTATACCGTAGTTGAAAGTTTCACAAGTATTACACAGAAATTGATTTTGCTTAAGTTAGGCTAAAGTCTCCGGGGCAGATAATGAGATCGATCGCAATTTAAAATTAATTAAGGGGAACGCAGAATAGGGTAAAATGACATTGTTAATATCAAGTCGGAGTTAACGATAGAACAGGATAGAGAGATTGAGATAGAAAGAGAGAGAGGGGAGGAAAAAAAATCGATGGATAATGAAAATGAGATAAAAAGAATATTTATTGCCAATGTTAAACGAAAGAAAGATGCATTTTTCTGTCTATCCCTCACTCTCTCTCTCTCTCTCTGTATCTCTTTCTCACACACACACACAAATCTAGACGATACGCGTGTAAACGTTTGGTTATTAATAGGAAATGTTTGATAAAAAGTATGCGTTTCTCTATCTCCGATACCCAGAAACGATAGAAATCAAAAAGTATGCTGATTGTTGGGGCTAGTAGTCGACAGACATACAGATTTTTGAGTTTCGGGGTCAAGTGCACTCCGAGACCTCGATTCGAACTCAAAATGAAAAATGCTGAAACATCTCGTCACGAGGAGGAACCTCGAAATGGGAATCGTCACTATATAGCTATATATATATATATATGTATATTATACTAAAGATTTAAATTGCCCTTTTTTTTCGATTCGATCGTCGAGTTAGCCAAGCCCACCCCTCCCCTCCCCCCGCCCTCTCTTCTTCCGCCCTGACTGCGTAACTTTCGAATTATCACGATGAATGGGAAAGTACAATTCGTGTCTCTCGGAAATTCGCGACTTCGTTCAAGACCCCCAACCCCAGTCCCACCCTCAACTTTTTCTTCGATTTACGTGTCCAATCGTTTGCTTTCTTTTTCATTTTCTTCGTTATATTTTCTTTCTTTCTTTTTCTTGACGTTATTTATGAACACTTCGGTGACTAGAATCTTGATAAATCGAAGTTCATTTGGTCGTGTACGTGTCTCCTCTCGATAGGCTTTTGATTACGTAAGGAATTTTTGATAAATGCTAGGAGTGGGATGGGTGAAAGGATACCTTTCCGAAGAAAAATAGGAAATCGGTAGAATATAATATAACCTCGTGTACTTCTTGTGGTTGTATTGGCTCTTCAAATTATTATCACCGAAAAGAAAGTTTCACTTTCCAATCCACCAATCTCATAATTCTTTTTTTTTTTATGTACTATTCGGACCCTACTGTTCACGTCCAACTATTATGCACACACAAACACACACATTTGTCCCCTTTTTTTTCTTCGACGTCTGACCATTTTCGTGTGTTATCCTTTTTTGTTTTTTTTTTCTCCAGTCTCTCTTACTTTCTGTCCATTTCTTTTTATTAAATTTTCTCTTTCGTGCCCTTCCGTTTTTTTTTTTTATTTCGTTTTACTTAACCAGTAGAGAGTATCTTTCTTTGTTCTACTTTATCCAAGTTTTTCTCGAGAAAAAGAGGAGTAGTAGTTTTCTAAAAGTTTGGTTGCCTTGAAGCGATTGTACTATCCCCATCAGAGTACTTGTACAAAGCTCGTACAACGCGTAATTATTTTCTTGTATTTCGAGCATGTTCTAAAGAAAAGTAATAACAAGTATCCCCAGTGATTGTAACGGATAAACTGCGACGATCAAGCGTCATTCAGTCATCGATGACAATTTTTTCTTTTACGAATAACCAAAAATATATTGGTTCTATTTGAAAAAAAAAATAAATAAAAACAAGAAAGAAAAAAAAGAAAATATTACTTGTATCGTTTGTCTCATTGCTGAAACATTTACTCATTTAAATTCGTAGCTTTTTCAATAAATCGGAAATTGTTTTCTTTCAATTCCTTTTTTCAAGCAAGAATTTTATTTTGGTAACTTCGACGATCATGCTATTTACCAAACATAGCAAGCTAGTCAACCGATAGTTCCTCCGAGTGCTTCGATCGTGTACGTACTACTATTACCTACTGACAATCCTCGAAACGCGAATAAGGGTGGGAAAAAACTCATAAATAATGCACAATGTTTTTCGGACGTTTGTACTTCCTAGAAAGCCTCTCCTCCTCCTCCATCTTCCGTTACCAACCCTCCCCGAGTATTTTATCCAGCATCCCTCTGATCTCAGATGAGAACTCAATGCTGTTTCCACATTCGTCTTGTATAATTTTTCTACATTGACGATTCCTTTCTCCAATCAATCAATTTTCATTTCCCAACAACAGAAATTATTATTTCAATTATTTTAATAATTCAATCGTATAATATGGCAATAACGAATTCGAGTTGCCGAAATTAAATATGTTGCTGTACGCATGGTTCACGAGGCATGGCCGTAGAAAAATGGATAAAGGATTCTGTTTCGCGATGATGATTGATCATTATTTAAAACAAAAGGAAAAAAAAAACTAATCCCCATTTTTGAACACGTCCACAGATATTATCCTCAAACGTCCGAAAAAACATTCGTCTAGGAGCGAAACGTTCTTTGTGTTCTAACCGCGTATGGGATACTTTTGATGACGAAAAATTGGACTTTTTTTAAAGCTCGGAGGAACTAGAAATCGAGATGACATTGTGTACTCGCAGTTTATCCTACACTTAAATTTAACCTACTTAAATTATCCAACTTAATTTAAATTTTCACGTGATTTAATTTAACTAATTTCAAATATATAAAATAAAAATAGTAACAAAGCTTTAAACCCGCCAGTTAAAGTTGCATGTTGAAGATTTTTTTGAACCAAGAGAACGAAAAAATATAAAAGAAAAGCGTAAGACCAAAAAAAACCGATTAAACGAAAGAACATCGATCGCAAACCTGAAAAACAATTAAAAAGATGAAAATGAAAGGTCCAGGGGGTTGATGGTACTTTCAGGTGTCATGGGACTATCACCCATAGCTGTCGGAGATACATCGCTACACGGCTACTCTGCAGAGTACAGAATCATTACCGAACAACATTGACGATGTTGAAAAACCTGAGAATATTACCCGAAATCATTAAAACAATATCTAAAGTAACGGAACTGTTAAGAGAAAAAAAGTACGAATGGAAAA